CAGGAAATTGCCCACGCTCAAGACGCAATTAACATCTGCGTGAGTTTTCGTGTGTGCATAAACATCCAAATCTCTTTCGTGCGTGTACATGTTGCGTCCGTGTGCGAGCGTTTGCGTGAGTTTGCGTACGTTTACGTTCGTCTGCGTCTGTGTGCGCATTTGCGAAATGATGTGTAAAAAAGGCGGGGCAGCTTCTGCGCGCGCAAATTCTGGCGCGAAAGACAGCTAGCTCTGGTCGAGTTGTTTTTGGCTGCCACTGCCAGCTTGTGGAGGACACGTATAATCAATGTATATAAGCGCTTGCGTACGGCGGGCGTGCGTGGCGTGCGCATGAAGACTGCGTGCGTAAAAAAATTGCATGCGTGCGCCTGGGAAAAATTGCGTCCGCGTGCGCATGAGACTGCGTGAGTATGCGAATAATAGCGAATAATTCCATCCATCTCTTCCCCCTTCCATCGATGGTCTAGTTTTTAATTAGTTTTTCTTTGTTGTCTATCACTACCTCAGAAACAACCAACTTTTCTTTGCTGTTTACTAGTCATTTTTTCCTCAGCATTTTACTTTTTCTTTTGCGTTGTATATTTCAGTATACCATCAACAACAAAAATAATAATAATAATTGCGTCTGCGTATGCGTGCGCGTACAGTGTAATAAAACGTCTGAACGCATCTAGACGAAGAAAACATTGGCACACAAACGCACGTTGGGTTCAGAGACTTTCATGATGTATTAAATATGTATACGAACATGTGGAAACCTGCAGTAACAATGATATGTTGTTGGAGGTGGTTAATGAGCAACATAAGGCTGCAGTTCTCTACCCAGATTTTTTATTATAGAACATGCCATGAGGGTGTGTGCTAGTCAGCAGCAACCACTAGTGGCCCCCCACGCAGCTTGTCAGCAGCAACCACCAGTGGACATTCACGCAGCTTGTCAGCAGCAACCACCAGCGGACATTCACGCAGCTTGTCAGCAGCAACCACCAGTGGACATTCACGCAGCTTGTCAGCAGCAACCAGCAGTGGACATTCACGCAGCTTGTCAGCAGCAACCACCAGTGGACATTCACGCAGCTTGTCAGCAGCAACCACCAGTGGACATCCACCCAGCTAGTCGGACATACTTTGGTCTGGGTTTCATGAGAATAAATATTTTAGTGTAATTCCAGGGAAGAAGGTGGTTGATGTGCCAAACCTTCAGAGAGTTTTTATGCCGCTTATCAGCATTGTTGCTAATCATGGATCAATTGTGATGGCCCTCCTGAACGAATGGTCTTACTTTAAAATACTACTACTTCTTAAGTATGTATGTATAGAGTTAGTCCTGTGTAGTTTCCATTAATGAGATGCACTTTGCTGTTGGCACCCTGTCAGTCTTGGCCCAGTCCTTGTTTTTTTCACTCATGCATAACTGATTATCTACATATTTCGAGGTATTGTGAGTGTGAAAGCTTCCGTTGAAGATGTTCCAGATAGAGATGTGCAGTGCAAACTAAGGAGGGCGAGTTCTCTCACAAACTGCATTGTCGTACAAGAGTCTACAGGAATGTGAGATGAGTGGGTTGAGTGTGGACACGAAACTAGATGTGGGCCCACATTAACATGTGCGAGATGGGGCTACACTTATTTTTTTTAGCGAGGTTCATCAGTTCGGAGAAATCTTTTAACAGCATCAATACGTACAGTCTTACTGTGGATCTATAAGAGCCGGCAAAGAGCATGGCTAGTGCTGATGTTGTCTGTGCATGGGGAGGACATTTTGAATAACCTGTGGGGTGTGTTTGTAAGTGTCGCTTGCGTCCAGACATGCTGGGGATAAGACTAACATGCTCCGCCTCTTTTTTCTCTGGGCATCACATGGTCTAATATCTTCATGCGACAGCAGTTCATCCTCAAGCACGCACGGTGTATTGTGCATATATATAAGCACCCGCATTTTGTGTTCACTGCAGCTAGGATTGGCATACGTGTAGATCAACAAAAAAGCTTTTTTAGCCTTAGTGCCTAGCCTTGTAGCCCTACAACAGTTTTTTGCCCTAGAATACTTATTTTTGCCCTAGCAACTGGCTTTCTAGCTCTTACATAGCTTTCTAACCCTAGAATAAATTTTTGCCCTAGAGGCTAGCTTAAGCCAACTTCCAGTTTTTAATTCTAATAAGCGTTACTGGAGTAGAGACTGCTTCCTTGGTATATCAGCATTGCATGAGTTGTTCTTGCGCAGTGCGCGATATTCAAATCTCCACATAGTTCTTGAGTTGGAACTGTAAGACAGACGACTTGAACAGACTAAGTGACAGCGAGTTTATATACAAAACCAGCTACATAAGATAATATAAATAATTTATTGTAAGGTTAACATGGGTGTAAGGGAAGACGGTGAATAGGATGGAAAATTGTCACTTTTTACAGTAGACATTAAAAACCAGCTTCCTCCTACAAGTGTGGCATGGGTGTTACACATGCCTTTTTGGCACTTTGGAGCAATCTCCAGTTTGTAGATATGTAGATAATCAGTGCATTGAAACTAGTGGTGGAGTGCTACAGTGTGTAATTAATCCTTGGCCCGCATGCATATCTCTGTCCGTTTGTCTGCCGGTTACCACGTTTTCTGCAACCACACGCAACAAACCAGCCAAAAAGCAACACCAACGGGTTCATCGCTACACTGGCTTTATTATAAAATTATGATTTTCGTAAAAGTGCTGCGTTCAAAAGTTATGACGTGAAAACCAAGTCAAGAACCTAACATGGTAATTACCACAGGGTTACCTCGACCGGGTCCGCTTGCTCTCTGTATCTCGAAGGTACTAGAAGTCACAACAAAGTGCGTGTATTGACTCCAGCATGTTATCTACTAGCCTGTGTCCGACTCTCCGCGAGTTACCACTAGTGTAAATGCATACTAATAGCCTAGCCCATCAATAAGCAGTACCACTCATGCGCAGTTCCCCAAGGGTTGCATTTTAGAGTGCTTTTCATTTAGATGTTTCAGTACTAAATATGAAGAGGGGTAGGTGCCATCAATGCCAAGTCACCAAGACAGTCACATGTTCTTTGGGTGTGGCGTCTGCAGAGTGAGGCTGTGCAAGAGCACCTGTTTTGCAGAGTTTCACCAGTTATATTGATTAAAATTTCAATCCTTGTATGTTTCTTTATCGCTTGAACTCATTCACTATGTAAGCATGTCATATGTAGGTTAATCCTTTCGGTCACAAAATGTTGTAAATTTACACACTTCTAGAAACGTCAACAAAACTCGCTGAAAAAACGCCAATCGGGCGAAGAAGCCGAATTCATGACAGAAAGAGATATACAGTATAAGTCAAAAAAAAGTAAACAACGGTAACGGTAGGGTAAAGGTAGCAGTACTTCCGAGGAACAATAGCAGTTCACCAGAGGTACGCGTGAGGGACTTCGACGGTACTTCGTCGGTACTTTATAGGTACTTCTGTGGTATAGAAAAGTACGGCGAAGGGTACCCAAGTAATGGTAGAGGTACACTTCACGGCAAAGCTTGCGCATTACGCACTGCGATGCAGCTAAGTAGCTGCGGCAGACGCAGTGAACGCCGCGGGAACACGTGGCCCACCCCGCCGCGGCATAGGCGCTATCTCCAGAGCTCTGTCATGACAGCCATGGGGCAGTAGAGCAGCCTAGATCCGGATCGTGCCACGAGTGATGGCTCGCTAGCAGAGCTCGGCCACTAGGCATGCCAGCTGCCATGCTGATGGTAGCGCATGCCACGCCCCCACCACCATAGAGCGAGACCGACTGCCGAGAGCGCGAACGGCGGGAGGATCGTGGCTCGCCCGTGTTATTCTTGGCTTATAGGGTAGTAAGTGTAGCACTGCTAGCACTACTACCGTACAAGACGAAAATCTGGTGTTTCCCTGTTTTCGCAGTACTACTTGTGAAGCTTACTTCAACGGTACCTCACGCCTCGCGTGTGGTACCGTTGAAGTAAGCTTCACCGAACTTTCACGGTACCTTCAAAGGTACTTTGTAGGTACTTCCGCAGTACTTGTAAGGTGGGTACGTGAAGGGTACGTGAAAGGTACGTGAAGGGCACGTAGCGGTAACGCATAGATAGTACCGTTACCGTATAGCGGTACTTTGCTTTCTTTTTTTTTTACCTGTACTATACATTAAATAACCTGTAAAACATGCGGCAAGTCCGTGGAACAGCAGAAGGATAATTCACGAACTGATCCTTCTTTGCGTCCTGGCAGACGGTCGAACACAAGCAGGAGAAGAGCATACACAAAGATTTGCCGATCCCGGTGGGAAGAGACACAAAAACAAATGTCTCCCTCGCGCAAACGTCCGTTTTGCAATGGCGCCTTAATACCAACTACACCAACGGCCTAATCAATAGCAGCCTCGACTGAGCTTGGACCACAACTCACTTCATTCTACAACTCACTTCATTCTAAAACTCCACCCAAGACCAAGCCCCCTAATTCGGTCCTGCGGTCTATAATTGCATTCTAACACTTGTTCTCACATTCCAGCCTTGGCCCACGTTAGGGTATAGCTCTGAACCAGACCCTTCCTTCCCTCTTGCGCATGCGACTACTGCATGCGCACGACCGGGCACGAAGATCAGACGCTCGGATTTTCACGGGCCGTCGGGAGCACACCGGACACCACCAGAAGTGTGACACTTTACCGGGCACAAGACGTGTAATTTTCGTAGGAAGGGTCCGGTGACCAGACTAAATGAACATCTACAGTAGGTTCCTTTATGTCATGGCACCGCAAAAGCTTCGCATTCAAATGACTCACACATGCAAAGGTGCAGTGGTCAGGAACTCCCTAACAGTTTTTGGACGTTATCCCTTACGAAACCTTGTTTCAACGTCTCATTATACAAGTAGCTCCATACCAAAACATACCCCTGGGATCGGAAAATGTGCATTTCTGTTACACACACAAAGAGCTACCTAAACAAGAGATATCTTGGCCATGATACTCATAGTTGAAAAAGTACACCAAACCTTGAAAGCTTTCCCTGCTGTTTTTCCTTCATCTCTGCTCCCTCCTCCACGTCACACTCCTGCAAAATTGGAGCTGCCGTTTCCACCATTGTGCGAGCCTTTTTTGGTGAAACAGGGGAGTCCTCATTGCACTGCAAGACGCATGAAACAGAGGAAAATTTACTCTGGCCAAAACCTACACTGTGATCCAAACCTTTCTCTTAGTTTTGGTCATTCTCGCTCAGGAAGTGTATATACAGCGGCTAAGAACCCACGTGGAGACACGTCGTGGGAGGGGGTGTGATCTCGAGGGGGTGGGGCGGCGGTCACCGCTTCTGCTCTGCAACGCAAAGGGCCTAGGGAGTTCTCGGTCGGTTCAGGTCAATGGAGAACAAGCTGCGGTATGGGCTGCTTGCAAATCACGGGGTTCTAGTCATAAAACTAGACCCCACGGCTATCATGCCATTTCTAGTATCTGAAGGACTACTGAGCCTTGACGAAAAGCAAGTCATCGACAGTACGAAGGCGACAGGAGGTGAAAAGACGGATGGTCTCCTTACCATTATACACAGGAGGGCGGTAGCGGACGACGGCATTTACGAACGATTCTTGAAAGTCCTCGACGATGAGTTTCTCTCTGGTGGCCAGTATTTGCATGAGTTAGTCTCCAAGGTTTATGACGATTCTTCAAGTCCTGGCGTCCTTGAAAGGTATCACGTTCAACCTGGCCACCTCGATCCCAACCAGAAAGCAGCTATTCTGTCTAACGAAGAGGCACTTGTGTCCAGCCTCAATGTGGATGATGTGTTGGCCGATATGGTTAGCCTTGGAGTACTGAGTTTGGACGAGAATGAGGTATTAGTGCATTCATGCGTGCATAGTGATCAATCTGTATTCAGCCTCCACTTTAGATAGCTCCATGGGCACTAAGCACTAGCCTTAGTTGTTGAGGTCAGGACATTGAAAGGGTTAGCGAGTATCGTTAAAGTTTGTCACTTCTTTACAGTATAGTAACCATTTTTAGTCATAGCTACAAAATGCTTGTGTCATGTGGAGTACAGGTTGTGCCCTACAAGAGGACTTGAAATAACATTGTGACTGATCCCTCCCAGACCTGGTCACATAGTATAAGAACTACTCATGTGGCAACAACAAGGTAGCAAGGCAAAGGCAGAGCAACTACTGGCATTCTATGGCTTTATGGATCTTTCCCCTATAGAAAACCAAAATTCCAAACTAATCCACTAAGATAAGGCCCCTATTCTCTAGTTTGTTATGGTATTTATGGGCATTTTCTAGCTGATTACTTCCATGATGCCCAAATAATGCTAGGGGTTACTTATGTTGTTCATTATTTTCATGAAACCCAGGTGCTTGAAAAATTAGCAACTAGACAATGCTGAATATTATGTGCATCTGTATACTTCCTACAGAGTTTCTTTCCTCTGCCCACAGGTGATAAGATCAGGTGCTACGTTCCGTGATAGAGCACGGCGACTAGTGCAAATAATCTACAGAAAATCCTCCCAGCAGTTTGTGCATTTTGTTCAGACTCTTGTGGCACATGACGTTTACTCCGCGCTTGGGCAAAGATTGCTGATGGTAGGGGAAACTAACAAGGGGTTTGAAGCCGCATCACAGGGAGAATGTGATCGAAAATACGGTTTGTGATTTGTTTCTCTTATGTACTGTAGCTTCAGGTTTGTATATACCCCAGATAATCATCAGGCAGTTGATAATCTATGCTAATTCAGCATGCAATGTACATAAATGTATATTAGTTCTGCGTACAGCTCATACTTGTGCACATAACTCTTTACGCCCTATGAGTAGCCACACATGTTTTTACTGCATGATTTATGTGAAGCATTTATGATGATGGATGTCCTGTTTTGCAACACCAACCGGTGTTTTTCTGTATGCATGAAAAGGTTTTGGCGTGTAACCAGTGAGCAGCCAAGATGGTAATTATAATACAAATTGCTTCACCAAATTCTGCATTTCAGAAGTTACATTAACTAGGGTTAGTACGGGATCTAGTTAATTTTCCTATAACACTACCTTTTGCTGGTCACTCTGTATCTCTTGTTAATGAGCACATTAGCCATGGCTGTCCTTCATGCAACTGGGTATTGTACCTCTGTAACAGGCTGAATATCAGTGCATATCACTAAGTAACAGTATACACTGGTTTGTCCTGCACCATGCCCATACATTTGAAATGCTCTCTTTTAATATCTCAAAAACCAAGTAAGATACCGAGATAAAACTTAGACAAGGATTGGAATCCATGACAGGTTGTGCAAGAGCATATAATTTGTTTGTGAACAATGTTGTTTATGTGAAAACAACTAATAATAGCCATAAATTATGATATAGAGCATTAAAGTATGCGAACTGGTTGATGCTTACACCAAGAATGATTAAACTTTGTACACATATGCAACCATCATTAGTAAACACTGCATGTTTGTAAACAACAACTAAGGCAATAAATACTTGTAACTGATGTTTGTGCCTCTAATTTTCTTATGCTGTGTCCTCAAAGAACATGAATTACAAGTACAAACTGCCTCATGCAATAAAAACTTGTAAATGGTGTTTGCGCCTAAAACCTGCTTATAGCACACCCTCTAACAGAGAATGTTGATGTACCATGGTAAAATGTTTTTCATTTAAACGACGCTTCAGGCAACGACAATAATTATAAGGCCAGTTTTTATATGGGATTTTTGCCTCATAATACCACCTTTTTGCACACGATTGCGATGGAAAACGAAAGGTGACAAGTATATAGAAATAATGATGTATAAAAAGCTAGAAGGAGACAAGACAGTGATGACCTATGTACTGCATATGATGCAGTATACCATGGATTATGGCTACGTACTTCCAAACTGACACTGCTTGCTCTGAAATTTATCCTTCACACAAGCCCTATATTGTCGCCACTTTCCTCACAACATGAGTTTTGTGAATGACGTAAATTGTGAGGACAATGGTGAAGATTCTGTAGGCATGGTAAAACATGTACTGTACACAATGCAGTCACAAATCAAACTGTCACAGAGCGCTACACCTGTGGATTACCTGTCTCCAGTGCTTCATAGCTGCACGTAATAAAAGAGAGCATACTCATGCCATGCGATAGTGTACGACATGTGTGCAGAAACATTTACATGAGCAAGCAATGTCAGTGGAAGTATGTCACCATGATCAGTACTACTGCATTCCATGCACTAGATCCCTGTATTGTCTCCTTGCTTTTTATACCATCCCTATTTTCAGCATTTTTTTTTATTTGAGGGATTTATAAAGTAATACCCTGTAATCTTTCTTTAGTTGCTGAGGTTCTTAAACGTGGCCATGTTCCACCGAGACACAGTGTGTTTGTTGACCGTCCAGACATGATACAGTCCATTCGTTCACAGCTTTCTCAGCTAAAAGAAACTGATGGTTGGGTAGTAGTCCACGGGATGGCAGGGTTTGGGAAGACAATTCTTGCAGCTGAAGCCATTCGTCATGCAAGTCTGCTGCGAGATGTTTTCCCAGGGGGTGTCCACTGGCTTCCTGTAGGGCAGATGGTCACGAAAGATGGAGATATAGATCAAGCCAAGTTACTGACTCGTTTACAAAACCTCATTGTGCGACTGGATGATGAAGTTGCTCGTCCTCCCAACCTTGAAGCTGCTACCAACACATTGCAGAAGATTCTCTCTGAAAAGTATCCCAGGTGTCTCTTGGTCCTTGATGACATTTGGAGTCCCGAAGTTGCACTTGCCTTCTCAGTACGCTGTTGTACAATGGTAACCTCAAGAAATTCAGCGGTTGCCAGCATGGTGCAAGCCCCAATTGTATCTTCAATGGAAATCAGCACAGGATTCTCAGAAGAAGAGGGTGTGTTTTTGTTTTGCACCTATTGTGTAAACACCCATCTTGTAACAATTCTCCATTATTAGAGATAGATGTTCCACTTTTCATGATATATATTTCTAACGACATTGACCTTAGTGATCAGTATTTTTAGTTGCTAGTTGTTTGGGCTACTTCCATCTTGATTAATGAGATAAGGTGTATGGCCTACTATGTATGCTTCTTTGTGCTTTAGGTGTAGTATGTACCATCTATTGTGTTGTTCCATCACAGGGAAACTTCTGCTAGCTCAGTGGCTAAACCGACGACCCAGTCAATTGCCAAAAGAGGCAGATTCTGTCATTGAATGCTGTAGGGGTTCACCCATGGTGATTGCACTCATTGGTGCCATTTTGAAGAAAAACCCCGACAGTGAGCGAAAGTGGAAGTTGATTGTTGAAAAGCTAAAAAAGAAGCACTTTCATTCGATCAAGCTACATGCACCTGTCAATGAGTGGAGCTATCAACATGCTACTCTCAATGCCTCTATAGAATTGAGCGTAGAGAATCTCCCTCCTCGCCTACAGGTGAACTGTAACTTACAACAAATTATGGGCTCATAAATTATGGTGCTTTACAGTTTTGCTGTAGTGAGTATTAGTACCAAATGTGCTACGACTGCTTACACAGAGTGACATATGAAATTATATGTTTTTGCAGGAATTGTTTGAGATGTTTGTTGTGTTTGACTACAACACACTTGTGTCATCCAGAGCTCTGGAGGTTATCTGGAACAAGGATAGCCTTGAAACTGAGGAACTGTTGATGGGTATATATAAGTATTCTACAAATGTTAGGCTTGCAACTGAAGCTCTAATGTGCGTACTAACTTACTACCTATTAGATACAAAGTGCTTTGACTACGTAGCTTTACATTTCCAGATGCAAGCCTGCATGATTGTCATGTAAATACTTTTTATTACATGTACATGTATGTACCAATCTGAGGAATCTAGAAGCAATGTGACGAAGAATTTGAATGTCGGCCCGCATGCGCGGCAAGGGTTACGGTACTTGGTTTGTGAGTGTGTGTGTTTGTCTGTCTGTCCGTTTGTCTGTTACAACGTTTTCCGTGGCTACGCGCAACGTGACATACAAATAGCTATACCAGCGGGGTTATTGCTACACCGGCTTCATTTTTTTATTTAAAAAGGCGATTTTCATATAACTACTGCATTCAAAAGTTAATGGCGTGAAAAGCAAGTGAACAAGCCAATATGCAAATTAGCTCCACCGGGTCTGCTTGCTCTGTGTACCTTGGAGGCACAAGAAGTCACAACGAATGGCGTGTATCGACTCCCGCATGCTGCTCGTGTCAGACTCTCGAGCTAGCTACTAGCAGGAGACCACGCGTAAACGTACTAATAGCCCAGCTCATCAATTAGCGCTATCACCCATGCGCAGTACGCCGAGGGTTTGCACTTCAGTGCTTTTCATTTTTGCAGAGTTGGTAGGACTCTCTCTAGTCCAAAAGGCTCCTCCAAGTGATGACAATTCTGAATACATAGTATTTGTTGTGCACGACATTGTCCTGGACTACCTGCAGCAGCACATCCAGCCAGAAAAGCAGGCTAGGAACATGACTTTCTTTGTGTGTTTCATTAGGAGTGCAATTCCATATTTCATGTTCAGTGGTTAAAACACATTTACACAGTCTAAGTTTGCACGATTGCATATTGATAATGTCTCTAGCTCACATGAATCATTATCGAACATCTTTAACCAACACAATTATATGCACAAAGCAGACAAAGAGTGCTATGGTTAACCCATTTTTTCAACAATGAATACCACTTATGACCAATAATTGTTACTGCATTCTCTAAAAAGAATGTTTATGTAAATACGACTGCAGGTTGAGCACCATTCAACTGTTGTCAAACGCTACACTGAGTGTGAAGGTGCCTACGCACATTTGCCTGATGATGGATATGTGTACCAAAAACTGATTGGGCACATTGCAGCTTCAGGTACTTATGTTGCAGTAAAATTCTGCTTTATCTCAAGCATGTTTACCTTTGTAGGGGACTCTTATCTGCTGGGGAATTTACTGAGTCAGCTGTCATGGATAATGACCACAGCTAAGAGTGGCAATGCTATGTCTTTACTAGCCGATTACCGCTTATACAAGTCGAAAATCCCACAGCAGGTGTGAAAAATAGCCCTGTTGATGCTAAAGCATGTAGTGCATTACCATTTCTCCAAACACGAGGGCTTTTTGGTTCATATTTACCAGGAGCTTATGTCCCACCCAATGGACAGAAGGAGGTGTGAAAAAATAGCCCTGTTGATGCTAAAGCATTACCATTTCTCCAAACACAAGGGCTTTGGTTCATATTTACCAGGAGCTTATGACCCACCCAATGGGCAGAAGGAGCATCCAACTATGCAGAACGGCATTTAATTCTGAAGCGCTAACAAGATTTTCCATATATGTAGAGCAAGCATATACGGAAAGTCTTGTTAGTGCTTAATTACAATGTGGGATGGAAGGGGTTGTGTGACAGAATTGTTAGTGTACACAAATGTTAGTCTGTCTGAGTCCTTCCCTCCTCAACTTGGTTAGTGTGTTGTCACATTATCAACTTATCAACCACTGATCCCTTTAGTTTCAGTCTGGTGTTCAGCAGTTTGAGTTTTTTGTAAGTGGCCACATGGATATTCTGGCAAACGATCCATCAGATGACGAAGTTATACAACAAGCCCTTATGCAACCTAGTGCAAGTGAAGTCTTTGTTCAAGCCAGTGCTAAGATCCATGGAGACAAAAGAAAGTCATGGTTCAATTGGAGGTAAATGAAAAATCGTAATAGGTAATATATCACACCTCAGACTTCAGGCCACACTACATGTTGCAGGATAAACCCACTGTATATGTGTTGTTTGGCAAGGACTGTGAATACTGCCAACCATCCTGCATTGGGAGGGGATTTCCATGCATTTAGGTCATCCACGTATGCATTGCTAAAGTTTCACACATGACCACATTCCTTTTGCATGATTAGTGTACCTTAGCAAGGCTAGCTTTGTGAGCTTGAGCTACATATGATTAGTTAGCAGTTCAATGGTTTCTTGCACTCCTTCAGCACTATACATGCAAATTATAACTGCCAATCAAGCATTCTTAGTAAAATTACATCATTATCCAAGTAATTACGTTGGCAGTCCTATAAATACTGGTGACTAGTACATGACTGAATTTAGTTATGCCCATTTCCCTTTTCAGCACATATTAAAAACATGAAAATAATCAGCAAGGAGAAAAACTTCTTTTAGCCACAAAATAATAGTTCCGTATTCCTACGGTGTATGTACCTTATTATTACCATGTGTTTGTCACTGTGTTCATAATCATACATTCTTGTACATACAACTCCTGTGTGCAGTAACAAGGAATCTGATCCAGAAAAGTATGTGCTGAAATTGAGGGTGCACCGAGCAGGGGTTAAAAAGTGTCAGTACTCTAGAGATGGTGGAAAAGTCGTTTCCTGCTCCCATGACTGTGGAGTGAAGGTATATACTGCTACAGAAAATCCACGCTTGAAAACTTACAGTATCACTGGTTGTTATTGCTAGGCTAAACCCTAGTTCAAAATCTAACATACTCGTACTGTGGCGAGTTACATACTGGTAGCATGCAGTATAGTTGAGGTATATACATATCAAGTAACTATAGAAAAAAGTAATGCCGTGCATTTTTCGGTAGTGAACGTTAGAGTCATACAATTGCAGAATTTAGATTCCATCTTTTGTACAGACATTATAGTATGTCCGACAATAGGTTGGTGAAGCATCTGGACGAGGGCAAAGCATTGCATGAGGGCCAGGCTGGTTTTAGGGTTGGAAGGGGTTGTGTTGATAATAACTATACGCTGAATGAACTCGTGCAGGGTAGGCTAAAGGAAGGGAAGGAGACATATGCATTCTTTCTAGATGTGCAGAAGGCATACGATAGTGTGTGGCATAACGGCCTGTGGTTTAAGTTGTGGGAATTTGGGGTAAGAGGGAAGATGTGGAGGGTCATAAAGAAGATGTACGAGTATTCAAAGAGTGCTGTATTATTGGATGGGGAACGGTCAGAGGCATGGGGATAATTAAATGACATAATATACAGTTGATATCATCTGCTCAGACCGTATTTTAGCAATAACACCACCTCTAACTCCTTTAATAACACTACACGTGTGTGATACAAAACTCAGCAAATTACAAAATGGAACATTATATATAGTTGTGCAGAGTTTGAGCCAGTGCAGAAAATATCCCTTCTGCTGTGAGGTCTGTTATACCAACAGTTTCCAAGTGACGGGTCATTAACATAGTCATACAGCCTTACCAGTATGGTCAAAAGCTTAATTGAGTCACCACATAAGAGGCTGAATGGTGTGACCCTGAGTATCTCAATGACAGGTTTCTTCATGTATGCATCACTAACAATTGATTTGGTCTTAGTTCGCTTAAATGCTGCAATGGCCGAATCAGGGAACATGAATGGAAACAGCTCAGAAAGATGGCCAGCTGCCTTGAAAGAGAGGTTATGCATAGCTAACAGTTGCCCAGGTCTAGAGTGGAGTCCCGGTTATCATCTTCAGTACTAGCCCTACTACTGCTACCAGTGTCACTGAGCTACTACTTCCTGTTGCCATTGTGTCACTCTCCATGGAGTCGTTAAGAGTCCGTGATGCTGGGAGGAGCTAATATTCTTGGGTGTTCGTCTAAGAAGCCCTTATGGATATATGGTAGCCCTTTTGAAGTCCTGTTTTCTTTCTCTTTTTCTTTCATGTATATAGCGTGAGCTGTTCAGTTTTCATGTAATGAAGCCATTAGGGGGGATATGGGGCTTGATACGTTACAAGGGCGTAGGGATAAGAATAAGTTGAAGTGGTTAGCGGCATTGCCAGGCAATAGGTATCCGAAGGAGCTTTTTAATCAGGAATGGAATTTTAAGCCACGGAGAGGCAGGCAGAGGAAGTGTTGGAGTAAGGTCATTGATGATCTCTTTTCGTCATTAGGTCTTGACAAGGCAGAGTGGTTGCATGATATTCAAAATGGGTATTGCTCCTTGAAGGGCTTTCTGTCTATAGTAGGGGACAGTCATTAATGAGAGGGAGATTAGAAGAGGGGCTAAATAGCAATAGAGTTCAAAAAAGTACTTGCATGGGAAAAGTGATGCTGGGTCTAGATTAATGTTTAAGTTCAGGTCAGGCACGCATGGGCTATATGAGGAACTCGGTAGGCATAGGGGGAGGGAGGGGATGAAGGAGTGCCTGTTGTGTGATGATGAGTGTGAAAGTGTGAGTCATGTGTTGTGGGAGTGTCCAGCATATCTTAGGAGCTTGGGGATGATGGGTTTGAGCATTTCCAGTCGCTTGATAGTTTCAGGAAAGCATCCTTTATATTGGGTAGTGAGCTGTGGGAGAATAATTTGGTTCTTTGCAAAGGCTTTATTTCAGATGTTTGGGAGCTAAGAAAGGTTAGGTTATATGGCGATAAGCCCAGCGTACAACAGACCCAGTCTCAGATGTGTCTGGGGAGCTGCAGGGTGTCACTGGTGGAAGGGGTGTGTCTGGGAGGTGAGACAGACACCGCATGTTCATATGTTCGTTTGTTAACAGTTCCGCCCATTGCTCTGGGTGCGTGGTCTATGGCCCTAGTGCTATGGCAGCCACCTGAGTATTAAAACATGGTTTCTGCCTGTATAATAGTGGCGTGCCAAGGGTTTAAAAAGGTGATTTTAACAACCAATTAATGCGTAAAAAAACGTCGGCAAACTGCGCATGCGTGGTGCCACTAATTGACGGGCGGGGTTATTATTGGCTTTTACTCGTGATCTCCCACTTGTAGAGTCTGAGGGGCTTGCGACAGTAGATAACATGCGTGAGTCGATACGCGCCTTTCGTTGTGACTTCTTGTGCCTCCAAGATACACAGAGCGACGGACCCGGTCAAGGTAAGCCTGTGCTAACCAGTGCTAATTAGCATATCGGCTTCTTGACATGGTTTTCACGCCGTAATTTTTAATGCAGCACGTTTACGAAAATCACCAAGAGCCAGCGCTACACTGAACCCTTTGATGTTGCTTTTTTGCAGGTTTGTTGTGCGTGGTGGCAGATGATGTGGTAACAGACAGACAGATGGACAGACAGACAGACCAAGTACTCGCTGTGCAGGCGCACCAAGGGTTAATTATGGTACCGCGTACTAAAAGCCCAGCCCATCAATTAGTGGTGCCGTGCATGCAAAGTTCGCCGAGGGTTTGCACTTTAGTGCTTTTCATTCTCTAAGTAATACTAAATGCAAATCACCCCAAGTCACGTGTCTTTCTTTGTTTGCGAAATTTGCACATTCCAAATTTTCTTTTGCTTCTGTTACACAGTGTATTAATTACCAGTTCACCCTTCATTTTAGTTATGTTGATCATGTAATCAAAGGCTGACCTTGACTGCAGTCACAGCATGAGGAACGGTACAACACCCCGCTCTATTGCTGTTGTGGAACCCCTTCCCTCAGGAGTAATAACAAACATAATTCCTGCTGAAAGCCCCGCCCTTGTCAGAGCCACATGCCACTGATTATTTCTCTCCATAGCGGCCCACAGGTTCTCCAGCTCTCTCCCCCGCAATTGGTGGAATAATAGGACGTTCTCACTGTGGAGAAATGTGGCACTATGGCATCAAACTGTACATGTATTTTACGTGCTTTTTAAGAATTTTCAAGTTTGCAACCTAGCCATCCAGAGAACTCTCACTCCAAGCAGTCTTGGAGCCAGGCCAAGAGCAGAGTAACCCACTGATTCACTTATATACTGTCAATACATCCTACCATAGCAGGATTGTGGTGAACAACAGGGAAGAGTTGTTGGTTTGTTACACTACTGTGCTGGCAGACCATCATTGTAAGCCAATTCCTGAGGGCTGTTACGTAGGCATTAGGTGGCAGAGGTCCTTGTCCTGGAGCGGCCTGGGGGTGCTGTATCGGGCTGCCAGGAGCCCTTAGCATTGGTCCTTCAGCCAGTAAAAAAGGATGCATGGGACTTCCTGCACAAAAGTACACATTAGTGTTTCCACTATTGAAACTGCAATTCCACAAGGAATACATTATGCCTGGGCAGTAATGAAGTGCCCAATGCTGGGTTTGCACTGCACTCCTGCTGCTTCTGTTGACACTATTTACACCTTACACCATGTCTAGTTAACCTTCGTGCGCGCAGCGAGGTAAGTGTGTCCGTCTGTCTGTCTGTTACCACGTTTTCTGCCACCACGCACAAGAAATCGGCCAAAGGGCGATAGTAACGGGTTCAGTGCTACACCGGGTTGATATTAAAAAAGGCAATTTTCATAAAACTACTGCGTTCTGAAGTTATGGCGTGAGAACCATATGAACAAGCCAATATGTTCATAATATTGGCTTACCTCGACCGGGTCCGCTTGCTCTGTGGATCTTGAAGGAACTAGAAGTGACAACTGAGGGTGTGTATCGACTCCCGCGTGCTATCTGTCCATGAGCTACTATAATATAGCGGGTTGACCACGAGTAAACGCATACTAATGGCCCAGCCCATCAATTAGCGGTTCCGAGCATGCGCAGTTCGCCGAGGGTTTGAACTTTAGTAATTTCAAGTCTTGATGGATGTGTTATCTGCTGTTCAGGTGACAGTCACGCTAGCCAGCAATTAGCATCGTCCCCAGGCATTCCAAGGCCAGGGGAAGGACTGGTACACACTGTTTGCGCATTAGCGTAATTTGATGACGTCTTCACGTACGTTGCGTTTTATTTATGACGTCTGTGCGCACATTTAAGTTATGCAACCGTTTGCCATTGGGCGGGCAAATCCAAGTCTCTGTGCAGCACCTGACCGACGAGAGAGAGAGAGAGAGACGAGCAGTAGACACCACACCCGGCTGACGAGAGAGATAGAGAGAGAGAGAGACAGAAAGAGAGGGAGAGAGAATAGTCACAAAAAGTCAAGTTGTGCTAGTTATAGTACTGCCACAAGTCAATTATTAGGTGTGGGCGTAGCTCGTAATGGGCTACTGAGTGAACGCCGCTACTAGTGTACACGTTGTTCAGTCCCTAACTGCCCTTGCCCTTCTCTATTCTCCTGGGCAGTGTGTAATCATTGGACTACGGCACTGGACCACTGGACTGACCTTTTGTTCCCATATTTTTCACCGTTCACAACGGTTGTGCGCCTTCTTTCAACATCAGCGACATTCTCAGTGTCTAAACTCTTCTCTAGCTACTTGTGCTTCAGCGACTGGCGTAGTTTCATAGCGTGCAGAATCAGGCGCAAACATCAGACGCGCCACACAAAGAAAGCATCCTGTGTAACAATTGGCCCACCCAACCTTCAGCCTAGCCAGCTCCTTGAGGCCTGATAAGCTAACAAGACAATTGTGACACTGCTCTGCTGATAGCTACTGAACACAAGTTAGATGACCCACGCTGAGATGGCTTGGTGATAAATACCTTGCTAAACACACGCATGTCCTCGTGGGCGTTTCCAGGACACGCCAAGGCCATCAGCCGGAAACACAAACGCTTGGATGCAGTGCTGCGTAACGTCTGCCTCGCAACATGAGTTGTAGGCTTCACAATGAGTTGCATCCGTCGCAACCCCCTCCAGTCGAAATGCACCCCCTCCAGCCGAAATGCACCCCTCAGTTGGAAGCTCGCCCACTTGCCAAACTCATAGCCTCGCTGGTACACACTGAGTGAGCATACATCTAATCCCCTGGAATTCCAGGGTGTTAGGATACTACCGAAGAATTTCCGTGTACTATGACTTCACAGGAACGCCAGCATAGGAGCAGAGCACTTACTACCAGTATGTCATGGGTCCCAACACCCACTCCACTTCTGCGTCATTCGCAATGCGTGCGAATGCCTACGCGTGCTTTTTGAATCTTTAATGAACTGAATGCACACGCAGTGTGCTTCTTCCCCTCCTACAGAAGGAGAGGCTAGCAAGACTCACTGAGGCTTAGTATGTGCACTGCTAGTGCATGGTGTTCCCAACTAGGCAGTAAAACCACTAATTGTCTGCCTTATCACTAAGTACAGTAGTATTTAGTATATAGGGATGACATACGTTGTCCTGCATTATGCCCATACATTTGAGATTTTCATGTTTCACTTTCTATTTCAATCAGATCCAACTTTTGACACATCAGACTAGTTTGTATCGTCACAAACAGCAAATCGCATAATCTTCTTTTCAATTTTCTTCTTCTTGTTGTTGTTCAGTTTATCTAAAAAACCAGGTAAGATATGGATATGAAACTTTGCACAGATATTGTAATACATGACAGGTCGTGCAAGAGCATTTTTATTTCTTCGTAAACAACAACAAATAGCCCCAGGCGATAGAGACAAAGAAAGTGTGGTAACTGGGTAAAGCTAATACCCAGAGTAATAAAACTTTGTACACACATGCAACCCATCATTAGTGTAAACATTTGTGACCGTGCACGCAAAAACCAACCTTACACCGCAATGTTAAATTATCGAGTACGCGTGAATATAACGCCTACACCAACCGGTAAGGCAAAACCACTTTTTTGCCTATAAGTAAAGCTTCCCGTCAGAGCTACCTACTGGTACCTTTCCTGCCTCCTAGGACGCCTTCTCGCCAGAAAAGAAGCTATTTCTCTGTAGCGGTGGTCAGTGAACGGAGCAGCGGACACGGACGCTCACGGCGGGGGTGTACGGAAATCTCGTACACACCGTTTTTCCCCGCGAAACTAGGCAACAAAGGTGCAGCGACTACCAGTCACTTTCCTTTACTCCACACACGGGCACAAGGTTCCTGAAGAACTTGGAGTGGTTGCTGAGTAGATCATCTAAGCTGCCGCCTTAAAAAATACGGCAGCCTAGTGTGCACGGCTCAAGACAGACGGCAGCCGGCAGACGGCTCAACAGTCACGTAGCTGGCTAAGCTGTCCTGGTTTAGAATCTAGAACCAGCATCCATAGCACACACGGGCCGGAGTTTTCACTGTAAACACGATCGAACGACCTGTCTAACAAGAGTGACAGCACGACGGTACATGCAGCTGACGCAAAGATGGCGCACAGAAGTCAAAGCGTTGCTTCTACCTTGAATCGCCTCACAGAGAAGCCTGAAGTCTACTCAGCCCAGTAGGGTCGATAGAAGCGTTCGTCTGCTGTCAAACTGCACTCTCACACTGGTTGGCTAAAAATTTCCCGGGAAAAATCCCATAACGTGACGTCATATTCGTACGCGGACAAGAATACGGAAAAATTTCATTCCACTATTTCGGGTTTTGTATAACCCCGCGTGACCCGCGTTTGAAAAATCTAAACTTTTAAAGGGTTTTCCCGAAATATATACAAAAATAAGCGCTGTATCAAGCACATTTCAAGCTTTACAACGAAACAAAAAAAGCTACTTCACAAAAATGCGGCGTAAGGTTGGTTTTGGCGTGCACGGTCACATTTAAACAACAACAAACAGCCTCAGGCAATAAAAACTTGTAAAATGTGTTTGTGCTCCTTATGGTTGGTCTTCTAACAATGAAACTTGGTACACTTATGTACCATGATGAGAGTTGATTGCAACAGAGATTACAAGATTGTAAACAACAACAAACAGCCTCAGGCTTGTAAATGGTGTTTGTGCCTCTAACTTTCTTATTGTGGGTCCTCTAACAATGAAACTTGGTACACTGATGTACCATGGTGAGAGTTCATCGAAACAAGTTTGCAAACAGCCTCAGGCAATTAAGCGCTATTTTTCCTATAACTTTGTACACTTATCTACTTTGAAAGTGAAATAAAAATGTAGATGACGATTAACAGACTGAGGCAATAAATACGTGTTACTTTTATTATGCCCCAATGCATGTGCATGCCGTAAAAAAAGGAAAGGACACAAGTAAATAGAAAGTGTGGAATATAGGGATGCCATAAAAAGAAGGAGACAAGACAGGGATGACCTGGGCATGTGATACAATGGGATGATTGTTACTTCTTCAACTGACATTTCTTGCTCATGTAAAGTTTACTCCACACAAGCCCTATATAGTCGGAAAGCACTAGTGATCTGTATCGTATGATGTGCAGCTATGACTCGTTTCCTATGCACAAATGCCCTCTCTGACAGGTCCTCAGGTGACTGTGTTTACTTCAATGTTCGCTCAACTAACTGGTTTTACAATGCTGCTTTCCCTACAGAATTCGTTCGCCAGTCTTCACACTACATTATTAAAAACTCACATCATGCATGAGTAAGAGTGGCGACAATATAGGGCTTGTGTGGAGTAAAATTTACATGAGCAAGAAATGTCAGTTTCAAGATGTAACCATCATCCCATTGTACTACTGCATCACATGCCAAGGTCATCCCTGTCTTGTCTCCATGGCATCCCTATATTCCACACTTTTTTAATTCTCAGAATTTTCTATTTACTTGTCATAACTGAAATGGCACACCTGCACTATCATGCATTTGTAGTGGTATACTTTTCCTTTGATGCTTAGCTACATGTAGGTGTACACCACTATAAGGACCAGGTTTTTATAAAACTGTTTTATAGCGGAGAGCCCCACTCTTGGTCTACCCACACATCTGCTGCCAAGCTTTAACAGTCATTATGAAAACTAGACACGCAATAACTAGACACGCTATGCTTG